TTAGCCGGCACCATCAGCTTTCTTCACCACCTTTGCTTATGCACATGTTTTTCTTCAGTGATCGTATCAGGAAGGTGGGCACCCACTTATCTGATTTTTAGTTCTTTGATGTCTGATAACTGGTCCCTTCTGTACCTCGTGGTCAGACAGGCTGGTGTGCTACTTCCATGATAGGAAATTTGTTTTATTAAGTATGATACTCGGTGTAGTTCGCTCTACACAATGTTGACCTTTAAACTTCTGAAACAGTTCCAGCTATTCTCCCTTCAAATGACTACTTCTTATGTTGTCTTTCATCTTTTCAAATTTCTCTTTTTAATTCTCATTACCTTACCTTTCTGTCCCTTTGCAGTCAACATGGCCATCCCTGGCCTCTGACAAGCACTGGTCTGGTTTGGGTTTTGTCTTTTCAAGAATACCATGTCAATGGAGTCATGCAGCATGTAGCTTTTTGAGACTGACTTATTTCATTCAGCATAATGGTTTTGAGAGGCACCAAATAGTTGCATGTGCCACAAGTTTGCTCCTGTTTGTTACTGAGTAATATTCCCCCGTACAGGTGCACTAGCATTTGTTTATCCTTTTGGAGGACTTGGGGATGTTGCCAGCTTGGGGCTATTAGAAACAGAACTCCTAATAGAGAAACCATTCTATCCCTGATTTGTCTTTTTGTTTTCCCAACTTCAGCATAGTTTCCTTTTTGCCCAATAGTAGCTCAGTTTATGTCTACCGCAAGGAGCGTCTGGTTGCTTCTTAGCCTCTAGGATGGCAAATCGTTGTCCTTCCTTGGTCAATTACTTGCTTCTCTGGAGCAATATGTGAGAACGATTTGCAAGCTCATCTCTGGGCTCCATGGAAAAGAGTGACTTAATTAAATGGTGATGACTTTGATGGTTGCTGAGGCGGTGACTGGTGGCAGCTGGGTTGTGCCATAACAGACACCATGCTTCTGAGAGTGAGCAATAAACCATGTAGCTAGTGGTGTGGCCTCATGTGTTCCTATAGCTTTAGCATACTCCAAGTGGGAAAACTTTTGGGAACTATGCTAATGTTAATTTATCTTGATAGCTATGTTATTGTGATTTTTAATGCTTGTAACTTAACTCTTACCAAGGGATGTTAGGATGCAGCCTATTATAACCTCTGGTGAAAAGTTATTTTCAGGTGGTGTAGGAATGGTACTGCATGTTGAAAAATGGTTTACATACTATTGATGCATTTTGTAAACAAGTACCTTTTGTAGGTGCTTACCATGTTGGTTTTCTGATACTCTTTAAAGACGAATGTGTGCATAAGTAAGTGTGGTGAAGAAGGCTGATGGTGCCTGGCTATTGAGACCTATAGCATCTGGGGACTTAAAGGCTTGAAAGTAAACAAGCGGCCATCTAGCCCAGAAGCAACAAAGCCCACATGAAAGCAGCACATCAACATGTGTGACCATGAAGGGCCAAAGGGACCAGCCTTTAAACACCAAAGGCGGGGAGGTGGGGGGGATCATATCCTCGTTAATGAGGGTGGTGCGTGATGGGGACCCAATGCCCATCTCTAGACAACTGGACATACCTTGCAGAGGGGTAGTGGGGAAATGAGCCACTTAGGGTTCAGTGTAGCAATAATGAAACCTACAACCTTCCTCTAGTTCTTAAACACTTCCTCGCCCCAACCACCATGACCCCAATTCTGTCTTGCAGGCCTGGTTAGACCAGATGATGCACAGCGGTACAGATGGGAATTGGAAATGCGGGGAATCTAGGACAGATGAACCCCTCAGGACCAGGGGTGACAGTGGCGATACCAGGAGGGAAGGGGGGTGTAGAAAGGGGGAGTTGATCACAGGGAGCTACATATAACCTCCTCTCTGGGGGACGGGCAGCAGAGGGGTGGATGAAGAGAGACGCGGAGCAGTGTAATATAAGATGTAATAATAATTTATAAATTATCAAGGGTTCATGGGGGAGGGGGGAGGGGGAAGGGAAGGGAAGGGGAAAAAGGAAAATGAGCTGATTCCGGGAACCCAAGAGGAAAGCGAATTTTGGGAATAATGAGGGCAACATATGTACAGATGTGCTTTACACGATTGATCTATGTATTGTGATGAATTGTATGAGCCCCAATAAATTGATAAAAAAAAAAAGTAAAAACCAACCTTTTGTGTGTTATTTTCTCTTTCCAGTATTATTTTACTGTCCTTTTTGGCCACGATGGACAGAAACCACTGGAGCTGCGCTGTGAGGAGGAGCAGGATGGTAAAGAGTGGATGGAGGCCATTCATCAGGCCAGGTACCAACTCACAGTCTCACTTGGGATGACATGGGTTGTCTGGGTCTTGTATTGAGTTAGTACTGTTGCTGATAGTTTTGGCAACTTATAAGATGGATTTCTGGTTGATACTTCATCTTTAGTCATGTGTGAGGTGATACGGTGCACTTTCTGTGCCTCTATTCCTGCAAAAGAGGTCTTGGTAATAGATATAATGACTATAATGATAATAGCAATACTACTTTTTATGGAATTCCTTCTGTGTGCCAAGCATTCTTTAGAGTGCTTAACAATAAAATCATTTATTAAATGTATGAGAGGCATATTACAATTACCCCTTTTATAGGTCAAAAGACAGAGGCCTGGCAAGGTTAGCTTTGTTGCCTGAGATTGTACAATTAGTAGGCTTGTGCCATGGTAGCCACAGCTAGGTTATAGACTCAGTCAGGCTTATATTCACACACATGGCTCTCCCCACATCATTATCCCTTGCTTATCTCCCGATGTCTCAATGACAAAAGTCAAGATGAAATATTCTATAAAGTTCCTTCCTCAGATAGGCCCTTCTGCTTCTTACATCTCCACCACATCTACTCTGAAATTTTCCTCCCAGGGTTCCCTCACCAAATTACAGCAACACATATTTTCTGCACTACTTATGGGAACACTAAACCATTTTATTCCATTTAGATTAATTTTTGCCTATTTCCTATACATCGTTTCTGTTTCCTGAGCTGAATTGTACGCACAGTGACAATGAGAGGCAATGTTAGGGTGCATTATTTTCTGAATTAAATGCAGTGCTAATGATGTAGTAGGTGATCTGCTAAACTTTTTAGATTGGTTATAAACAGAGGAAGGTGCTTGTTCTAGATGAATTCAGGCTTTTTTTTTTAACCCATGAGACTTTTTAATTATGTTTATCTTCTTTCTTCCCTTGCTTCTCTTTCTGTCTCTTGTCCTCTTAATGTATGCTATATTCATCACTTTTCCAATGGCAGGCAAGATGCTAAGTGTGTCCCAAAGTTACACATGTTTCATCTATCGCACTATTACAGCAAGATACAAACCCCACTTCACAGATGAGAAAACCAGAGTTCTTGATGAGTAGGGCATAGTAGATTGGACGAGATCTAACTAGAAGTTGTTAGGCTGCCAAGTTGGAATTCAAACTCAAGTTCATCTGACTCCCGAGATAAACAATGTTCTTTTTTGCACTTCTCTTTGCTTAGCTTTTCCACTTCAGTCTTTCTGTCTTGAATTTCTTTTTCTCTTCACTTCTTCAAAGAAGAAAATGGGCTAACATGTGGTCATGGTTGAGAGTGCTGATGTTATTTGCGAACTGCTTAATTTCCTTTTCTTTCTCTCAAAAACATGTTTGTGAGAGGGGTAGGTTTGGCAACCAAATACTTCTCTCCACGTGGGTCCTGGGGTAGCTTGTCCACTTAATGATCCAGAAACACTGTTCACCTTTCTTTACTTGGTGGTGTTTTTTGGCTCCTGTTTTAAAATTAATGCAGAAGGACTTGCTACAGAAACAAGGTCAGGCCTTCAAAGACTAAAATAACATCAAGTTGGCAAGGTAGACCCCTTAGGTAGACCCCAAAAGATTTCACACAACCTTTGTGGCTACTTTTATTTCTTCCTACCTGGCCGTTAACATGATTTAAATAATTAAGAGCCTGTATTTGTCAATCTTTTGGATTCCAGAAGACCAAGGTACCATCAATAGCCTAAGCGTTTTGGGAGTTGCCAAACAGCTTGGTAAGCCAAACCCAAAGACAGCATGGAGTTACTTTAAAGCCAGTTAGACGTTCATCGTTATAGGTTGCCATTGAGTCCGTGCAGAGTCATAGAGACGCTGTGTGTGCAGAGGCACGGTGCTCTATAAGGTTTTCAAAGAGATGACCTTTTGGAAGCAGTATGCTAGGCTTGTCTTCTGAGGCACCTTCATTCGGGTGCAAACTGCCAACCTTTTGGCTGACAGTTAAAAGCTTAACCCTAAACATCTTCTATATAGCACGTTAGAGACCTTTCTTTCTATACCATGGAAATCGTTTGTCACATACGTGAAAGTGGTTGAGTGTTCATTGTCATGATAAAAATCAAGCATTTATGATGTTTCTGGGGAACTATGTAGATGTTAGAAACAACTTTAGTGGCATAGATGAACAAATAAAGAGATTTATTTTCTCTTTATAGATTTAAAGATTTAGTTAATAATTGATTTTTTTTTAATGGAGTAGGAAGAAAGACTTGATGATCTGTCTCCCAAATCAGCCCGTGAAAACCTTATGAACTTGGGCAGACTCAGCAGCGTTTCTTTTTGTTGTGCATGGAGGCCAACTCAACAGAAACTAACAACGTGTTAGCACCAGGCCAATTGTGCGCCGAGCCACACACCCTCCCCCAGCCACTGTCAAAGGCTGCTCAGACCCTCTTTGGCCACGGCTGTTTTCAGTACTGGCTGGGATGTGTTGTCTTTGTGTGCCATGGCAGCCGTATTTGTGTTGCTGTCTGTGCCCTGAGCAGAATCTTCTTCTCCACATTTTCCATGCTGTCTGCTAGCATGCATTCCCCTTCAGGTTCAGTGCAGAAAGAACCTTTTTGGAAGTGAACATTCTTTGTTTTGAAGATTTGACCTGGTTTTATAATTTTGCCCACCATTGACTGATGTTCCGTTTAAGGTCCCATTCCATCACGGGTTACTGACTCTGGTCATGAGAGCTGCACACGTTTTCTGATGTGATAGCCATGCTTGCTTTTGCTTTTGTTTGGTTGATGTGAGGCTGAAATGTTTCAATAGCAGTTGAATCTATGCATAATCCACAAATACTTTGCTAGTTGAGTGTGGAACTCTGGACACTTCCAATAGCCTGATATTTCTTCTTTGCCATACCTTGTCATATTTTGAACATGCCTTGTATGTATTCAGTATTTGGTTTGATTATAGACATTAGGATAGCAAAAATACAGACCTAGTTGATTGTGGGTTCTTAGAACTCATTAACTAAAATGCTAAGCAAAGGAAGATAGTCCCAGGCCTTTCTCTTAATGTTTCACTCCTGGTCTCTGGTCCAATAAAAGCAATGAGAAAGCAGCCATGACCTAGAAGAGCCGGGAGTATACTTCTTCCCTATACTTTTTCCATCTGACTTACGCATAAGAATTTCAGGACATGGGCTATGAGCGTGTGGAAGAGAGAAGGAAATGTCTTCCAGATACGCAAGAGCTAGTCTTCAATAGACTTGGTTACCACCAGTGTGTGGTCATGTGATTACAACGTGTTGTTAGGGACCATGGACTTGATTCCCACCTGTAGCCACCCTATGTTTCACAGAACGAAACCCTGCCTGACCCTGCACCATGCTCACGATTGTTCCTGTGTGGCAGCTCATCGCTGCAGCCACGCGTCAGTCCGTCTCCTTGAGGGCCTTCCTCATTTTGCTCCCCCTTCACTTTACCGAGCATGGCGTCTTCTCCGGGAACTGATCACTTCGAACAATATTTCTGAAGTATGTAAAACGAAGCCTTCCATCCTTGCTTCAAAGGAGCACTCCGGTCAGACTTCTTCCAAGACAGATTATTGTGTTCTTTGAGGGGTCCATGATACTTCCGGTATTTCTCTCCAGCACCACACATGAAACGCATCGATTCTTCTCTGGTCTTCCTTATGCAGTGTCCAACGTTTACGTGCATAGGAGGTGATTGAAAATACCCTGGCTCGGTTAAGGCACATCTTAGTCCTCAATGTACACACTCTGAAGAGGTCTTGTGCAGCAGATTTACCTAATGTGACATTTTTTTTGATCTCTTGACTGCTGCTTCCATGAACATTGATTGTGGAAACAAGCAAGACAAAATCTTTGACAACTTCAGCTTTTTCTGTTTATCATATTACCTATTGGTCCATTTGTGAAGCATAAGGTCTTCTTTACATTTAGTTGTAATCCACTGTGAAGGCTGCAATCCTTGATCTTCATCAGCAAGAGCTTCAAGTCTTCCTCACGTTTGGCAAGCTGGGTTATGTCATCTGCATATTGAAGGTTTTTAATAAGCTTTCCTTCAATCCTAATGCTGAATTCTCCCATACAATCCAGCTTCTCTGATGATTTTCCCCACATACAGATTGAGCAAGGATAGTGAGAGGATACAGTGCTGACACACACCTTTCCTGATTTTAAACCACTGGGTAATATCTAAGATGTCCCTCAGGTCCCTAACACTAATGGGGTTGTCCACTAGAAGAACCATATCGATGAGAGGAGGTCAGCGGGGCAGAGATGATGAGCACCCGGCAGGAAGGATTTGAAAGAGTGTGATTACTGAGAAACAGCCCTAAGATACTGATGTGCTATCTTGTGCCCCTTGACCTGCACTTGTGAGAGACTGAGTATTAATGAGTATCTAGGGAGCTTCTAGAGAAGTAAAGTGTGCCCAGAGGGGAGATAATGGGTTTCTGTCAAATTTTGACTGGGACTTTATGAAAAATCAAAGATTGAGAATACTCTCCTTCATACATTGGACCCCAAATTGTGCATTGCTTTGCCTACCCTGTAAACATGTGGCTTGTCTTCGGTTTTTAAGGCTGTGTCACTGTCTCTTTTGCTCACTTTCCAATTTATCAAAATGATACTGTTTTTTGCTGCCATTGAATCGGCATCATGGTGGCCATAGGCATAACAAGATCAAACCATGTGGCCCAAAGGGTTCTCCTTGGTTGGGTTCTGGAAGTAGAGCACCAGACCTTCTTTCTAGTTCATCTTGGGTTTTAATCGCTGCTGTTCATCATCACAGCGTTATGCATACCTTCCCTGAGGGATGAGTGGTGGCTGCACACGAGGTGCATTGGCTGGGAATTGAACCCAGTTCTCCTGCATGGAGAGTAAGAATTGGACTACCGCTTCCACACTGCTCTTGGTGAAGCTGCACAAAACATTACCTCAGTTTCTTCCCTCCTCTTCCCTTCCCTCGTTGTTTGCCTTGTGTCTGGTGACTCTTAAGATTTCCTTTAAGGGGAG